CAAAAATTACCAAAAATTGCCAAGATTCGAGATAACTTATTTTACTGGATATAGAGAAATAGTTGCCACTTTTCACTTGGCTGGCCGAGATTTCTTCATTTTAAGATTTTAGAATTTTTGTGTCGGATTGAAAAAGTTGCGCTTGTTGGTGATGAATTTGCGGGGAGATGCGCTGCGGTTGTTTTTATGAATGAATTTACTTGGCCTTGAGAAATATGCGCATGCGTTTATGAATGAAATAGTTATTGTTGTATTTGAATATGCGCGTAATTATGTACATATATATGTATGTATGTATGCGGAGTTGTACATATGTACATATGTATGCATTAGCGTACTATTTAGGCAGAAATATGCACATACGTATGTATGTACATATGTAGTGCATATGTAAGTACATACATACCATATATACGCATGCGTGACAAAATATAGTCGACTCTAAAGTTAGTTGCAGCTTTTTACAGATATTCCATTGAAAATTAAGTCAAAAAGCTGTAACTAACTTTAGTTTCGACTTTATTTTGACTATGAATATGCCCCATTAATTACATACATACATATGTATAATACAAGTATTGCAGTGAAAAATTATCATTCTTAAATATTCTTAAAATATTAATTTCACTGCAATTTGTAATATTTTATTCCGCATAAATCTGAGGTTATCAAAAATGTACTGCTATCAAAAAATATTTCATTTCACACAGCAGATTGGCAAAACTGTCTCACCATAATAAAAATATTATTCAGCAGCTCTGCCCATAGAACTTTGTTACCAATTCACACACGCCCTAATTGAAATATCTGAAATTACAAACTTTAACAATTTGTAAAGTATTTTTAGTTCGATGTTATAAGTGCCATAGCAGCGAAATCGAAATATATGCACCTTATTTTGGTTTTAAACGATTTTTTCAGCACTTAATCTTATAAAATTCGTTGTTTTTATGTTATGTAAAAACAACCTTACGTCAATAAATGCTCATCCTTAACAAAAATATGTAGCTCTTCATTTTAGCTACTATTAGTATTATTTAGCTCTTTTTTTCGATCGTTTTAGCTCCAAACGAAATTTCTCTGGCAACACTGCGTAAATCATTCAAAATGCTTAACATTCATTAAATATACGAAATGTTATTTCTCGCTCAGCTCTGTTACTCCGCCGCTCTTATGTTCCACAGCAGTGTTGGCTGGTGTGGTGTGTACGCAATCAGATTTTGATAACTTTTGACAATTTACACTCTGATTCGTAATTGCTGCTTCTCTGTATTTAACGTTCTCTGTCGATAGTGCTAAGAAAAATTCGATAGTGGCGGCAATATGAAACCATCGATACTATCGATAGCCCCATCGATAGTTCGCAATCCCTAGTGGATGTGACGTGTAAAATTTTCAACAGCAATTGATCTAAAAAACTAAAATAGTTTTTTAGCAATTTAAAGTTTTTAACTTATTTCAAGTGTTTATAAAGGCTACTAAACATGGGTTCATTCCGACGAGATAAAGATGACGAGGATGAGGGTAAGCTCGGAACATTGAATGGCGTGAAAAGTACGCCCTAATTTTTAACAAAAATCTTCACTGTAAAACGTGTTGATATCATTTAATTTAATGTTATGTGCTTATTTGACGTAAAATGAAAGAATTTATTAATTCTTTAATCCGTTTCATCGTAATGCGAATAAATACAAAAACTTTCCTGTTCACTTCAAAAGGCACCACCAACATCTATCAAAACTTGGAAAAGACTTCTGTGCTACAAGAAACGCGTACTTTCAACGACACTCCGGTAAATCCAAGGAAATGTATTCAAATTCTTACGAAAATTCTCTACCTGATAAACCAAGGCGAACAATTAGTTGCTCGCGAGGCTACCGATTGCTTTTTTGCAATGACAAAATTATTCCAGTCGAAAGATGTCGTATTGCGCCGCATGGTTTATCTAGGAATAAAAGAACTCAGCTCCATTGCAGAAGATGTCATAATTGTAACAAGTTCACTGACCAAGGATATGACAGGTAAGGAGGATTTGTATCGTCCGGCTGCCATACGCGCACTTTGCAGCATTACCGACAATACGATGCTGCAAGCAGTTGAACGTTACATGAAGCAATGTATCGTTGATAAGAACCCAGCAGTATCATGCGCTGCCCTTGTAAGCTCGCTACGTTTGGCAAGTGCCGCTGGCGATGTGGTAAAACGTTGGGCTAACGAAGCACAGGAAGCTCTTAACAGCGATAACATAATGGTGCAATACCACGCACTAGGTTTGCTTTACCACATACGTAAGTCCGATCGTTTAGCCGTATCTAAGCTAGTAAATAAATTGACACGTAATTCTATGAAGAGTCCATACGCCGTTTGCATGCTGGTAAGTTTCGAAACCTATTTGAATCAGTAGAAAATACATTTATTACCTCTTTGTTGTTTAAAGATTCGTATCGCCTGCAAACTGATCGAGGAAGAAGACATCTCAGCTGAAGATATGTCGAATTCGCCAATGTTTACTTTCATCGAAACATGCTTGCGTCACAAGAGCGAAATGGTTATTTATGAGGCGGCACACGCAATTGTTAATCT